GGAACAAAAACCACATCAACATGTACACATAGATGACATGTACAATCATGTGATAGTCATGTGACATACCATTACCTTTAATAGGTCTGTCTGCTAGGAATATAACTACTTCACTCCTTCCTCTTAATTCTTGAGGTACCACTACTGACAGTATATCATTAGTCCCTTCAATTCCTTTATGAACCTCAAACTGAACTGACTGAGCATATATTGAACCAGCTGGTATAAATAATGATAGTAACGATTTGAGAAAATTCTTCATTTGTATATTTTCAGAGACATTAATATGTTCTTATGTTGTGCAGCAAGTTTGAGCTGATTTCAATAAAAATTAGATTATTTAAACAAATTTTAAAGATACTCAAAAATCAGACCAAATTCCCTATACTATAGCACAGGGTTGTTGGCCAAAAATGAAAAGGTGAGAATTTTCCACTTTTATAATTTGTTCTGATGCATATACACGTTCTTATGTTGTGTAGAAAGTTTGAGCTGATTCTGATCAAATTTGGACTTTTTACGAATTTTTTAAGTTGCTCCAAAATTGGGCAAAAGTCACTGTACTACAGTACAGGGTCACGAGCAGATTTTTGCCAAAAATAAAAAGGTGAGAATTTTCCATTTTTATAATTTTTCCTGATACATATGCATGTTCTTATGTTGTGTAGAAAGTTTAAGTTGATTCCGATAAAAATTAGAATTTTTACAAATTTTAAAAGTTGCTTCATACTATAGTACCCATTACTGTTATACTGTGTGTGTGCTATACTTCATTACAATTAAGTTACCTGATCTATAGCTGAGGTCTCCACTCACTCCATTAGCTGTTCTACGTAGTATCCATCTTCTTCTTAAATCATATAATGCTCTGTAAAACTTGTGATCAGTTTGACTGGATAATCTCTTGAGTGGCTCAGCTCCTTTTCTTAATATCTTGGAAGCTACATCAAGTGCCTACACAAAAACTCATCATAATATTAAATGTACATGTACATACACAATCAATACATATTCATTAACTATCAATCTAATAGGGACAAAGCTCACTAAAAGAACTCCTATTGATCTGTGTACCTAATTACCTTAAGGAGACAATTATTAGCGTGTACTTATTTTAGCAATTTTCATGGTACTGACATTTGGCTGGTACTTAATTTAGCGTTTTTGATCATTTGGTATTAATAACTTTTAGAAGAATTAAAGGGGCGAGCCTAAGCAAGCTATAGATTATGTGCTGTGATTTACATGTATGAGCAAGCAAAGCAATTGCACAAGTCTAAATACACTAATACAGTAGATCTTGTTGCATTAATCTTGCTTAAATTGCTTCATCACTGACTCTGCAGCCATTAACATGTAAAGTTATCTTGCTTACAGTTAGAAGCAGTCACTGAACGAAGAAGATTTCATCTGCTTTGTTAACCTAGGCTAACTGCTAGAGAAGTCTTTGGACAGCAGTTTAGTATTATCTTGCTGACCCTTTGCTGCAAATAAACTCAGACTTGCTGACGGCCGCCATTTTATTCATTGTGACCACACCCACTTTCAATTAAAAATTAAAATTAGCGCGGACTTAAGTTAGCGATTTTTTTAAAATCGCTAAAATTCGCTAAATTAAATACCTGCAAACAATTGTCTCCTTAAGGTATATTAAACACAATACAGGTAAAGGAATAGTACATTCACACTATGCCCAATACTGTGCCTTTATAATCTTCTATATTGAGGTACATGTATTGTGCATGCATAACTGAATAAAGTAACAAATCATGAGAAGCTAACCTTCTTTTTAATTTGGTATTGATATGAAGGAGGTAATGTGTATTTCTTATTAACATAAACTGGATCCAGTGACAAGTATTGATGGTGATTATGAACAATTTGTAACACATCAGACAGTACACTAACTTCAGTCAATGCTTGCCTGCAATAAACACAAAACTAATAATAAAGTTTAACTATCCTTCATGTATGCAATACATTGATACATGATTTATACTCTTGTTTATACAAATTCATGTATTTATGTACTTGAGTTTTGAGTGTGTGAATTCCCATGGCCAGCGATGACTTGGTTTCTTAGTTGTAGGACCAGAAACTCCCTCCTCCTCCTCCTCCTCTTGTTTCTTCTTTCCTTCTTCTCTGTCATTATCATCATCAGCTCTCTCTTCTCTAAAGTCAACATGTTGAGCTAATTCACTTAGTTTCTGAGAGAGAGAGACGGTCTCCTACAAATAAATACATAATATATTTAATGGCAAACTACAGTATCATTTGGATGTTACAAGTACATACTGACATTTGGCTGGTTTTTAAGTTAGCGTTTTTTATAATAATTAATACTAATAACTATTAATAATTTAATCAGGAAATAAAGTTAGCAATTTCTTTAATATCGCTAAAATTTGCTAAATTATATACCTGCTAACAATTGTTTCCTTAAGGTAGATCTATTTAGTTTAGAATTCCCAACTTAAATAAACTTAAATTTGCAATATATAAATTAAATTAGTGGGCATATTCAACTAGAATTAAATTCTGTATTATTATAATAAATGACTGTTACCCTTCATATATCTCTTCTCCATCATAGTTGATCTCCTTGACTCTTGTAGTATGGAGTGATTCCACTGAGACCTTGAAACCAGCATCACCATTGGACGCCATGTGTGACTTGTGGGCAGATCAAACCATCCCACTTTAAGGTGGAGTTGCATGCTTATTGCCTCTTTCTCGTTTACAGTTCATTTTCACCCATTCTCTTACTTTTTGACTAAGAACACTTCTTAAAAGTAACATACTTCAGTCAGTGGTATTGTGATGATTTATTTTCTTTATAGAAAATGGCAGAAAACACAAGTCCAGCTATCACTATGACTTGTGAGGTTTGTTCAGAGTATTATACTGACCCCCTCATGCTTCCCTGTCTTCACTCATTCTGTAAGAAGTGTCTAATGAAAGCTAAAGAGAAGCAAGGTAGTGCTGATACCTCATTAAAGTGTCCAACGTGTGACACTAGCGTTAATTTACCTGATGGTAAAATTGAAGGCCTCACTCAAAACCTTTGGTTTGAACATAAATCAAAAGAGGCTTCGATCAAAAAGAAGATCGTCAACAAGGAAGCAATATCGTGTGATGAATGTGATGATTCCAGTGATGCAGCTGTTGTGTATTGCTGTGATTGCGGCCAGTTTTTGTGCGATTATTGTAAGAAAGGTCATAAGCGAAACAAGAAAAAAGCCAATCACAAGTTGATCGATCTAGAAACAAAGGAATCCATTGAACTGCCTACTGTCAAGCATGAGGCAGTTTACTGTGCACGTCATTTAGACCAAAAGCTGACGTACTATTGCAACGATTGCAATAAACTGGTTTGTCCAATATGTCTTAACGTTAAGCATAAAAGTCACAATTACAATGATTACCTTGATGAAGGTGAAGCAGCACGTAAAGCATTAAAGGAAAGTGTTGCTAGTTGTGATGGAGTCACTCCTCCAGTCACTGAAGCTATTGCTAATGGAGAGAAGATGCTAGAGCAGATAGCAACACGTAAAGAAGAAGTAAGGCAGGAAATCAAGGAAACATTTGAAGAGCTTAAAGCTGCTTTAGATAAGAGATGCAATGATCTACTAATGGAGACAGAAGAGATTGCTAGCACTAAGAGGAATTGTGTCAAGAAGCAGTTGGACGGGTTTCGTAAACTGGTAAAACAGGTTTCTCATGGTCGTGATCTTGCATCATCAGTGAGTGAGCGTACTGATCCAGGTGAAGTTCTGAGTGTTAAGAAGCTAATCACCAATCAACTAGAGGAATGCATTGAAGAGTATAAGAATTTACCTCTAGAAATAGAAGAAAATGAAGTGATTGTAACACGTCTAGATACGTCTATTTTAAGTAAAGAAATCAATGAATTTGGAAGTGTCTCTGAGGTAGATATAGATGCATACTCCATTGATAGTGGGTTAGCTATTCCATTGGCAACAGTAAAGAAAGAAAGGAAATTCAAAGTGTCTCTACCAGCAGGCATTGATAAAGCAGCAAGCTATTTAAAGGGTTCCTTTATCAAAAGTGATGGTAGTAAAGAGGAGGGTAGAGTTGTTATAGTTAATGATAACACAGCCATTGTATCATGCACACCTCAAAGTATTGGTGGATATGAACTATCAGTGACTATAAGAGGTCACCATATTAAAGGTAGTCCTTATCAACTGTCAGTAAAAGCATCAAGAGACTATACCACACTGACTAACCAGAGATCCTTTAATGTGGGAAATTATACTAGTGGTGTTGCTGTTCATACTAATGGTGAAGTATATGCTAGTAGTTATGATGGGTTTGTTCAGGTATTTAGTGAGGATGGTACTACAGTAAGAAGGATTGGATCTAAAGGTAATGGTAATGGACAGTTTGAATATCCTTGGGGTTTATTGCTGGTAGGAGATAGGCTCTATGTGTCTGATGCTAATCTTCATCGTGTGCAGTATTTCTCAGCTACTACTGGTCAGTATATTGGTCAGTTTGGTAGTAAAAGTAATGGAAGTGTGCAATTCTTGAAACCTGAAGGCATGTCTATTGATTATAAAGGTAATATATTAGTAGCTGATTACAGCAACAAAAGAGTACAAGTGTTTAAAGAAGATGGTACATTTGTACAAGTCATACAATGTGATGGTTATGCATCTGATGTAGCAGTTGATAATGAAGGAAAGATACACGTTACCATTTTGGATCAAAATTATATTCAAGTCTTCTCTCCTGATGGTAAATCTCATCTTGATACATACAATAATCCAGCTGGTAACTTTAATGATCCCAATGGTATTGCTATTGATGATGAAGGATATATCTTTGTATCAGCTTATAATGGTGGTACCTCTTATCTTCATGTATTGAGTCCTGGCAGGAAACAAGTTAAATTAATCTCAGGACCTAACCCATTTGGTATAGCACTGGATAAGGATGGATATATTTATGTTGCTGACAATAGCAACAAATGTATAATGAAATATTAAAGTAGTCTTTTAATAAAACTGCAATAAACTGTAAGCTGATAAGTGACTGTAGAAACATAAACTTGTACCTATAGCATGAAAAGATGTTATAATAATTCTTTTTTTTGAACGAAATTATTTTTAAAATTTGAAATACAAAATTCAAAAAACAGTAAATATTTGAAGAAAAATAATTTAAGCTATTGCATTGTATCCACTCCTAGCAACAGTTCTTATCATACAGTAATAGAACAAAACAGAGACAGCTACCATCACTGCTACTGCTCCTATACAAGACGAAGCAGAAACACCAATTAGACGTTGGAGATTCCACTGCACTAAAACAGGAGTTACATTAACATCCATCATTGTTGTACTTGTGGTGTTAAAAAGTAGTGATATATTCTCCTTTTTGTATGGGTACTTAGTATGTGTTATTGAACAGGTAGTGTGTTGTGAGGAAACACTGCAGTCCTCATTCAGTCCACTGATATTGATTCTTGTTAGATTAGCCGATAGCCAGATGGTATAGCCCACATTTTTAGCAACGTACCAACCAATGTAATAGAGTTTGTTAGGAGGTAGATGGAATTTTTTATTCACTACTCCTGTTTTAGGAAGACAAGTTTGAGCAACAGGGTCACCAACTGAGCCATGAGGTTCATTTGGTTTGAATACTTTATCTAAGTCTGTTTTGTTGTCATACAAAAAAAGTTGCGCTAGGCAACCTGAAATGACCCCGTTTTCCTGTAACTCAAATCTGAAATTTAATTCGCAAACTGTATTACATATAAGATTGTTTTCACTTCGGTCGTAATGCAGTTCGAACCTTTGAGGAAAAGTAGAATTTCTCTTGTCTATTTGCTTTTCAGGAAGCATCACAGGAATGTATGATAACTGAGACTGAGGGACAACATAGACACTTGCTGTAGCTGGGCTATCAGAAATAAGATTCACTTCGTTGACATAAAATTGATCGTAGTAGATAGAGGTTACATAGCCATTGTACACACTGATATTCTGTGCATCAAAATGTTGAGTGTTCTTGTAGATGAAAAGAAATGTTAATGCAATGACGGCCATTATTAGAATAATGGTGATTAGGATACAGGTACAGAGAATGAACCTAGCTCTGATCCCTATTCATGAAAAGGTCAAATAAGTAAATGGTAAAATGTTATGAATGATAATAATTGTCCTGTTTGTTTAATGAAGTCCACTTCCTCAATGCACCCATATAACTGTCACAACAATATGCATGTACATGCATAAATTTTTGTCACATCATCATTCTATTTATCTTTATTATAATCACATGTACATGCGGCCACAATTCGTAATAA